CTTTATTTTACAGTTAAAATAAATGTTTTTTAAATAAAGTCTAATGTTACAACTAATCATGGATCCCTTTAACAACACAGACTCTGAGGCCTGACAGGTTGCGTATAATGTTATTTTCGAGGTTTGTCTAAAATAGTTGTGATGTCATCATTTCTCAACATAAAATGGGAGATATGCATATCGTCAAGGCTTGCTCTGTGTTTTTGAATCACTCGTACAGGACCCACCTGGCCAGGTTGTCCCAGTCTTTGGACACCTGCTCAAACAGCTCCTCCACAGCAGCAATGCAGTGGTGGTACTCTTTAGACATCTGCAGGTCCTCCTTCCTCTGGCTCTGCAGCTTGTTGGCCTGATGGCAGAGCTCCAGCCACGTATGGGTCAGACCATCCAGCTCGGCATGTTCAGCGGTGTTCTGACCACCGGTCAGTCTGTTCACAGTCTCTGTCATTTTGTTGAGGACACTCTGTTTACACTGCAGCTGCTGGCAGCATTCCTGACAGACAACAAGTGAAAGGAATAATCCCAAACATGACTACTAAGTGCATCATAAGACAGGACAAAGTGTTTGTTTACCTTATTACGTGTTCGTAACCAGACAGGAAATACACCAATAGTTGAATGTTTGAATGTGAAAAGAGTTATACAACCACAACAGCGCTGGTCTGAACTACGTTTAATGCTTCCTCCAAGCATTCAGCAAAGGATTCAGGAAGCAGTGATACTTTTATAACCTTCTGCAGGACCTGACTCTGCTTATTGTCATTGCGTCCTTCAAATGGGCCAACCTACAGCTGAAATCAGGTCCCCTTACATATTTCCTGTCCTCATGTTAAAACAGCGGTTTGATTAAATGTTGTTAGTGTGTTCAGGCATGTATTTTACTTATATGTACCTCCTGCTCTGTGTAACCATCTTTGATAGCCACTCAGCCCAGTCAGTATATAAAATCATCAATGTAAGTGAAGAAATTTTGTACCTGAAAAATTGAATATTAGACTCAGTTTTGTATTTTATACTTTCTGATCATTTCAGTCTGTAAGGTTAAAACAGACAAAGAGTTTGTGTATGTGTGTTATCATGTGTTCTTTCTCTTAGCCTGAACAAAACTGAGTGACGATCTGACGTCTGACGTAAAAGGTAACACCTCTGGGGTGTAACCAGGAAGAGATGTACATTATAAGCTGAATTCATTATTATAGTAGAAAGAAGTTGTCAATGTTTTGCAGAGTGTCTGCTCAGAGCAGAACTCCCATGTTTGTTTTGATTTGTCCCAAGGTTGTACGCTGAGGCCTGTGCTGCTGAGCGCTGAATGAACCTGATTGGAGTCAGAGGACTGAAAATAAAGTTTTAAAGAAGAAATCCAGCGGAATCCTGTTTATTCGGACATACCATTTTGAACAACACATATTTTTCCAACATAATCACACAAATATTCACACAATAAAGAGATCATTAGCTGCATTTCCATCGCAAATGTGCGCAAAACTTTGTCGATATTCTGTTAATGTCGAAAAACACAGTTTCGCAACTGCAGTATTTAAGGGCACAGTGTGTAGGATTTTGTCAATTCTTTTGGCCGAAATTGAGATAATCACTAATGACAATAATAAAAAAAACATGTCTAATCATTGCAGACAAAGACCTTGTTTTATTATTTTTACCTTATAAAAAGCTGTTTATATCTCCATGGTTGCGGGTCGCCACACAGGCAACCGCCATCTTGTCTACGAAGGCTCATGAAGGACAAACTGCGGTGGCGGTGTCAAAAACGGTTTTAGTTGTAATACTAAATGTAATATTTGTTGTCTGTCATTAGCTACATTTACATAGACAAAAGTAATCGGATTAAACAGCTGTTCAGAATAAAAATGCGTCATATAAACAGCCCGTTCTGTCATGATTCTGTCTGCCCAGATCTTGTTCCATTTTAGTTTTGTTATCTTATTTCGTGTTCCAGTTCATGCTCATAGTCTTGTTCCCAGCCTTTCAGCTCACATCCAGCTCCTGCTCATTGCTCTCGCCCCTCCCGTCATAGAAACTCTAATCAAGCTCATTTCACTCACCTGTTTCCAGCAGAATATAACCCAGTCTCACTCTCCAGTTCACTGCCAGATTATCATCAGCCTCGCCTATGATCTTCCAGCGTTCTTGTCCCTTGTCCTGCTCTTGCCTCATGTCCCCGACCTTGCTCATGTCTCCTGGTTTAACGTCTCCTGCCTCAGTCCCTGTCGGATCCTGCCTTCCATCTGCTCTCACGGTAACGACCTTTTTTCTGTCTCTTGGATTATTGTCACTTGCCTGCTCCTGAACCACGCCACATGGGACCTCCTGGATCTCGACCCCTGAACACATCTCTGGACCAACGACTTAGTCATCTCCTTCAAACCTGGTAACTTCCTCTGACCACCTGTATATGACCAGGGAGGATGATTCAACCACTAGATGTCACTGAAAACAACAAATCCTACACACTGTACCTTAAAGTAAGAAATGCTATTAAAGTCACGCGTGAATACGTTCTCTCGATAAGTCATTACAAACATGGCGGCGATGGATGTAAACACATATCATGTTGCTACCGCGACACTAGCGCTCATCATCAGAGGAGACGTCGGCGTCTTTTATCGAGGATTTCCAGAGACAAGTCCCTACTTGGGAGCGGCTACGTTAGCTGTGTTTTTGGGAAATTATAGTCTGTGAGTTTACCACTTTTACTATTTCTGTTATATTACTACTACTTCTACGTCCTGTTACTTTCTTCGTCATCTTTTTCACCAGTAGAAACATCTGGTTGTTGATCACGTGATTCCTGTGAAGCGAAAAAAGTGTTTCCATTGCAGTTTTGCGAAAAACACCAATTTTGATACGGCCGAAATACCACCTCATCCTAGCGCAAAAACATTTTGTCAAAAAACATAATTTTTTCGTAATTGACGGGTTTCTATTGAGCAAATTTACTTTTTGAAATTCTAATTTGCGCATTTTCACGGTCAAAGGAAAAGCAGCTGGTATTCACCTAAGAAAAAACTACAGAATGTGTGGGGCTTTTAAAAATCAGTAAGTAAACAAACCCCAATAAATTTCTTCATGGTTATAACAAATGTTAAGAATGAAACAGACATGTAGATAGAGAGCAGCAGAGTTACAGGTCTGTGATGATGATGCTGGGCTAAATGTTCAGATGCTGCTACCCACCTGAGCCTGGAACAACATGTTTTGAGCGATTTTGGTCTCAAGTTCTGCTGGTCTTCTAGAGAGGGTGAGAAGTTGCTGCTCCATGTCCTGAAACAGTCCTGTTAGATCCTGCTTCTGTTCTTTAATTTCTCTCCAGCCCTCTGAAAGCACCTGAGCACTGGACATCCTTTCTTCAATCTGCAGAAAGATTCAAATCTTTTAATGAAACCTGTCTGGTTATCTAAATATATATAAAACACACAATAATTATTGTGTCCCTTCTGTTCTGTTGAATTCACACTACACATCTTAACAATGTAACACTGACTTATAACAGGATATTTATCATTATCACATTTAGTTTGCTGAAGTACACTATTTCTGTCGATTTTTGGATGGAATACTGTTGATATAGAAAAAAAACTCATGTATATTGTACTGTATGTTATACAGAATGATGATACTGACTATGAGTTTGATCTGCTGGACCTCAGCAGCTGCCAGCCTCACAGCATCATGAGACAGGTCACACACAGAACACACCATGTCCAGATAGGTGCTGGCCTGCTCCTGCAGGGCTCTGTAGTGCTTCACCTGCATGTGGAACATTGATTAGTAAAATATTGAAACTGTAGGGACCAAACCTTTTTATTCCAAGGTCATCTGGTACTGTGCTGTTGAGTACCTGCTTCAGTGCTTCCTGTAGACCTGATGGTCCCTGATCATGGAGCTGAAGCTCCTCTTGAACAGTGGAGAGCCAGGTCTGGCACTGCTGCAGTGTGTCCTGATGGCTAACATGTTTCTGTAACTCTCGGTCCAGACTCTGGTAAACCTAATGAACAGAGTTATATGTTGGTGAAGGTGTGATCTAAAACATTATGATTTGTTTAGTTACAAGGGCTACAATGCTGTTGATTTGTGTTTGTTCATTAACTCAGACTTTTGCATGTTGCCATGTCCTTTAGAATGTGTAAATGTAGAAGAAGAAATAAGTTGTGCTCAGAAATGTTGCAAGAGTGAGGGCACGACTAGAGCTGGACGGTATACTGGTTCGTACAGAATACCATTTTTTATTTCTGTTGTGATATGAATTTTCTGAATACAGGACAAACCGGTTTAAATAGCCTGAACACGTTCGGAACGTTTTGTCATGGCCGCCAGTGAACTGTTTCCCAGGGGACACTTTCCTCACAGCACCGCTATGTGCATTAGCATGCTATGTCCTGATGCATCTCAGTAATCCAGGTAAAAAAAATCAAAAGGAAAAAAATTGTATAGGTCTTCTGGACGGGTTCTTCTTTAATGAAA